GTATTTTTCCTAGATCCAAAAAGTAACATTTCTTGCACAGGAAGACCGTAAAGATTTGATTACATAGGCTTAATTGTTCCCTGTCGGCTAAAAGACTGCAATATTTTGAAAGAACATATTCTTAAATACATCACACACACACAGGGTAGAAACCCACCCTGTCAGTCTCTATCACTTTGCTTAGGTAAATTTGCTCTGTACTTGTCAAAATAGGTTGTGTATATGTGCACAAGACAGAGTAGGTACTTGGCACAGCAATGTTGACCATTTGGTGCTGAAACTTGCCTCTGTTTAAGATGCATTATACGAGTTTTGCTACTTAGAATGTTCTGAAGCAATCTCTGCAGAGCTTAACAGGGAGGCTCGGAACAGTAATTGGCTCTCAGCAGCACCAACACAATAAGCTATATCTAAGGACAAACTGCAGCAGGAGAACGGATATAGTATTTTTCCTAGATCCAAAAAGTGACATTTCTTGCACAGGAAGACCGTAAAGATTTGATTACAGGAAGAAAATTAAAACCGAAGCAGAAAATGTTGAAATTATGGGGTTTGAGAGATATTTCACCCATCCCTTCCAAGCGGATGTATTTCATGTATTTCCAAGAACATCGAAATTCTTTCCCTGGTTCATTAATCCCAAGACTGTTGAAGAGATGCGGAGAGCTGACCTGGAGGTGATAGGGAAGGCTGCGTGGGTAAGTCACTGAATGACCGGAGTACTCAGCCCTCAGAGATCCTGAGTGAATAAGATTGCTGTAGATATTTTTTTTAGGGGCTTCATAATTAAAAGCTAGCTGCTCTCTTTGCTTCAAGTTTGGAAAGAGGAGCCAGTAACCAAGCACGACCCATGAAGACACAGAAGAAACTGAGATGGGCATGTAACTCGGGAGAGCAGCTAGAGATGGTACCCAAAAGTGGAAGATCGGAGCTTTGACCCTGGGAAGTAAAGGAAGAACGATCTGATTGTAGAAACACTGGCAAGGAGGGGGAGGTCACATATGCGCAAGCTACACTCGGTTTCTCGAAACAATGCAGTAGAATCCTCTAGGATGAAAAGAGGCAGCTAGGACAACAAGTCTCCGTGGAACTGGCAAACAGCCGCTGAATGTGTTTCCCAGAAACGAGAGATGAGAAGAAAGGCCAATGCAACTGTTCTACCGCGTGCTGCAGATTACTAGATCTAAGCACTTAATGTGCAAAGGAGCATAGTATTACAATGACTATATTGATTACCATGAAGTGTGTGACATCTGAAAGGGCTTGACAGGAAAGGGAAAACTGTACTCTGTAATTTAGAAACCGAAAGCTACTTACTTCTAGAAACACGCATTTTATTCAATTAGTTTCCTCCATTACTTATTTATAGTCAATGGGTGAAAGATATACTTGAAACCCTCCAATAAATTAGATTTGTTCTACAACTCTGTGTCTATATCTATATAATTTATTGACGTCTATATAACTCATAACACAGGAAATGAATGACCAAATTAAAAGCAATTTTATAGTCAGAACCTAAATTTCCATTCTTGATTTACTTCCAATTTGTTATTTTAAGGAAACCTCTAGAAGCATGAATAACTAGAACCTCCGTTTGGAACTCAGCAGATGCCCTGGGAAATTCAGAGGCATTGTGTATGAGGATTTTATCAATGCTGCATAAGGTCAGTGACTTTTCAAATAAAGAAAGTGAGGGCCCAGAGTGTCACTGTGACTCCAATACGAGGGTTTCGGGAAGGTTCATAGTGCCAGACGCTGTCTGTCGCTACTCTGCAGGGAGTTACTGACACTCCCAGAAAACCATCTCAGGAAAAAAATCCATCTGGACTCCGTTTCTCTCTCTCCTCCTGTCCCTCCCCGACTCCTGCCTCAACAAGGCTTTATTAATAGCCCCACTCCACTTGGAGCCCACAAGCCTACTTCTGCCTCTAGAGTGCTAGGAACACGGGTGTGTGTCACTGTGCCCAGCAAAAAAGCTTATCATTAACAATTCTTTCTCTCCTCTTTGGACCGCCCTTCTGCAGCAAGGTTTCTCTGATGCTCCCACCCAACGCCACCGAGACAATTTTGCCACATTTTCCTCACAAGGGAATTTATCCTTGGAAGCAAATCTGTTTAAAAGAAAGATTCCTAGTATCAGTGAAATTTCTGGCACAGCTATCATTTTGGGCTAGTTAATTTAAGTTTGTGGATAATTAAACCTTAGACAAAGTATAATTCATGACTTTTTTTAATGCAAAAATTAATGCTAGGAAAACTTCAGTGGAAATACACAGACTTTCCTTCTCATATTTTATAAAATCAGTCCACAATGCTGTCAGGTTTTAGCTTCACGTAACCCGTGTTTCTGAGTACATACGTACTAAGTCCAGAGAGACTATGCTCAGGTCATTGCGGAATCCCCTTAGCTTCACTTTCATTTGGAAGAGGGGATGATAACCAAATGCCATATGTTTACAACCAGAGGAAAGGCTACACATTTTCACAGGAGAATGAAACCCTAAGGATGGCACCCGCTGGCATGACACCCGCTGACTTGGCCACACCTTCCCATAAGCACAATTTTACTTATGTCACCAATGCTGCTTCTCTCATTTCTATTTTTCTTGTTTTGCTTGCCAGAAAGCAGTGTGAAAAGATGCAGTGGGAGCTCCTTCAGCCAATGGCCTTAAAATACCAGCCCACTTGGGCGTGGTCTCTTGTACTATTAATGCATATGTAAAGCCTGCACAGAGCTCCACAGAGCTGGCTTTCGTGTGCGCTTTCTCTCTCTCTCTCTCTTTCTCTCTCTCTCTCTCTCTCTCTCTCTCTCTCTCTCTCTGTGTGTGTGTGTGTGTGTGTGTGTGTGTGTGTGTGTGTGTGTTGCTGGCTGCTGGATTTGGTTCCTGTTTTCTGCTCCTGCAGAGGACTGTGATCTGTGAGTCTACCCCTAAATAAAGAACCCTTTATTATACTCCATTCTGAGCTAATGTGGGACTACTTATCGTGTTCACCTACAGAAAGAGGTGTAAGAATTACAGCGTGAGAGTAGCTCTCTGCCTCACGAGGGGAAGGCTGCTGTGGCATGCGGTTCCGTCAAAGAAATGCATGCACAGCCATCATTGTTAAGTCTTCTGGCTCTCAGATGGTTTACAGTTGCTTAGCTGTTAGAATCTATTGCACACACCACCAAGCCCTGAAAAAGAACAGAGTGTCTTCCCTGGTCCTATACTGGGTAATCAATTACTTTAATAAGAAGAAGAACCAAAATAATATCAACCAGTTTCCTACTTGGTGAGTGTTTTTTGCTGCCTGTGGATTTCTTTTATCTCAGCTATGTTCTGATGATTTTATCCCATTGGGTCTTTGTGAGGATTCATTCGATCATACGTATAAAATACTTAGCAAATAAAAATCACCTAGTGATTGACAGCCATTACTACTGACTTACTAATTTGAACTTGGTGAACAATGTCATCTCTGGGGAGGAAGGTGAGTTAGTTTTCAGAGAAAGCCTGGCGTTCAGAAGCAAAGTTCAAAATCATTGCTGAAAGAAGTACTCAAAAATCAGTCAGAAAGACAAAAACAACCATGAGAAGAAATTTTCAGTGAAACTCGCCAAAAATACTGACAAAAGGAATGCGAAACTTCACGGAAACTGAGTTATGTTCAGTTCAGTTTAACTTACTGTCTTCACACGCAACTGAGAAGAGACATATAAACAAACATGACCTAGAGAAAAGAAGATACTTGGAAGCATATGCCACACCTCTGCTAACTGATGTCAATAAATTAAAGGTAAAGGTAACAAAGATTCTTAGCGTGGTTCAGGAATTTCACGAGAGCGTTTATGAGGACTGCTCCCAAAGTATTTACTTTGCCATTAGATATCAATGGGAGAATGTTTTTACACATTAATAAGTGACAGAGCAAGGCATTTTCTGCATTATGCTTTTCCCCAATTTACATGCTGTCCCCACACCTCTTGACCACATGAAAGTCCTCCAACTCCCATATCGGAAGTCTACCCTCACCACAACATGTAGCTTTTCCTATGCTTTAGGCCATGTCATAGCAAGCAAGCAATAGTATACCACCTCCAGTCATTGGTCCTACAGCCAGACCCCATGGTTTCCAACTACCCCTCTGTCCGTGTCAATTCAGCTCCCTACCCAGCTCTGCCCAACTTCTCTCCTAAGTTTCTGTCTCCTCTTGAACATTTCTTTTCCTCTCCTTATGTTCAGTCCGATTTACCCTACACTCGCCTCTCTCCAGGCCAGCTCTAAGAGCCCCTTCCCTGGTCTGACAGGACACCGCTTTCTCCTCCTGTGGCCTTTTACACCCTCAAACTCTTAGCACATAATTACATGACTGTCTTAACAGTTCCAACTTGTGCTTAAGACTTATGATAACTTCTGAGTCCCTGAGGATGAAGAGAGACAAACACTTTAACGTGACACCCGAGCCTCCTTCATGTAACTCCCCTGCCTCAGGTCCAGCAGACACCCCACGCCATCTTCTGTGCCTAGCTGCTAGTTCAGAGCTTCCTGTCCCTTCTCTCAGGTGCATTTCTTGACTTCCTGTCCACATCTGTTTCTCATCAAAGACTTCCATAACAGCTTACAACTTTCCCACATAGCCCTGAATGAAATTTCGATTCAATTTCCTTTGACCACTTGATTGATATTTCTCTCTCCTACTGAAATGCAAGTTCCTATAGACAGGAAACCATAACTGCGTTTTGTTTCCTGCTGGCCCCAGACCAAGCACACTCTTATAAAGGTGTGTATGATGTAGCAATAGCCAATAGTAAGTATTTGTAGAATGGATGACTGTCAGATAAGCACCCCATGAATACAGTATACTTACTGCTTTATAAAAAGAAGAAAGAAAAGAATAGAAATAGAAGAAAAAGACAAGTGTCCACACACAAAACTGAGTCTGGCCCATGAATAAAAATGGTTAGCTCAGATGCTGTGAGAATATGAGATTTTGCAAAAACTGGATTCAGGTTTCACCTTTAGCTTCAGAGAGTTGAGTTTCTCCTCCCTGAGGTGTTCTCTCAGCATCTCCCGGTGCAGCCGCTCCTGCTCCCTTGCAAACTCGCCCAGGGTGTACTGGCGCACGCTGTTGTGACGACTGGACATGCCCAGAGTGCTACCCCCCTGGCTGGGCACGCTGGTGAAGCCCTGTCTCCTGGTGAAGTAGTACACGGTGACACAGCTGAAGTGCACATTCTTGGTCCTCAGCCGTTTCTCCCTTTTGAGGATGGAGGAGGCTGGAAGAGAAAGAAGCAGGTCAGTGAAGCCCAGGGCAGCAGCGCCCCGTGACACCGAGAAAACATCCTGGATCCTGAGTCTGTTGAGGACCAGAATGTTTGGAACCTTGCCGGCTTGAAAAATACTGAATCCCAGAGTTGGCAAAAGGGCCTTTTGATTTCCTTTCTTACATTCACTTATTTTTCGAGGCCTAGTAGATTTTAAATGTTTCTGTAATGGCTGTTGAAGCAAACTTCTGGAGAGTTGCCAATTATTTTTGGAATTAGCAGCAGGATTTAATTCCTCATTTCCTTGAATCCCTTGAGCTTTGGTTTCCTGGATTTCACACACGAACTGTTATATTATGATGAGAGAAGTCTGAACATGTAACCCTCCATACCTTGGGTTTCATTTTTAAAAGTATGTCTTAAATTTCAAAAAAAAAATCAACTATCAAATAAATGAGAAGAGCACTTAATGTGGTTAAAGGGCACAAAAACTTATTTAATATTTTATAAAGAGTAAGAATAAAGGCACTAAAGGGTTCCAAGACAAAGAAATGACAAATACTTATGGAAAAGCTATTTACAGTCAATGGATAATTGCCTCCTATATAGATATATGCATTGAAAGAGCCGGCTGTGCACTGTGGATATGCACAGTTGCCAAATGTCAGAGAAAGGCATTGCTCATAACACCGAAAAGATAAAATAACCCAAAGTAATCAAAGATCCATGAAAAAGAGCTTATGACACTGTATAGAGATTTTAACAACTTAAATCCAACATACATAGCTTTCATTAGGTAAAGCAGTATTCCCTTTTAAATAACATTGTATTAAAATCCAAATACTGACATAAGTAAAACTTCCATCGAATATGTCAGGACCACTTTCTTTTCATATTACTATTTATTTAACGAAATCTTCATGCTTTCATATACAACAGGGATGTTATACCACAAAATTGCGAGATCAAAATAATTAATGTATGCATATCCTTACCTATTTTTACATATTGATGATTAGAACCCTTATTATTAGATTGTGGAGACAGAAGAATGGACTGAGCCATGAGAAAGTTTGTGCACACACTGAGACTGAGCACAAGAGAGTCATGCTATCTTGAGGACCTCCCAGTGCTGGACAACAGAATAGGCTATCTGCCTGAATTCTTTTATTCCACGGGAGAATAGCCAGACTTAGGGAGTCCAAGTGACTTTGTTTAATATAATTAATGTACAAAGTAAACTTAAACCTAAAAAACCCAAATTTTATGTCATATGATAAGTTGGTTTATGATCTGGAAGGGAAGAACACCATTCAGAGGAAACACATTCGTTCTGCCCCAGGTCTGACATCTATGCCCTTCCCACTCAGATGTTTTGAAGCCTTTTAGAATATAATTCCTTTGAAAAAAGGATCCTTACCCCCCACTCAGATGTGTTGAAGTCCTTTAGAATATAATACCTTTGGAAACAGGATCCTTACAGTTAGATGAAAATGAAATCATTAGTCCCCTTAACCCAGTAGGGACAGGTGGTCTTGCTGAAAAGTGAAATCAGGACACAGATTTAGAAAGAAGGGAGACAGTGAAGAGAACAGAAAGGAAGGTGGACACAGACACTGAGTTACACCTCCAACAGTCAAAGATGCCACCAGAAGTAGGAATATGCAAGGGAAGAACTCTGGCTTGTGAGTTTCAGAGGGACTGCCGCCCAGCCAGTAATTTGACCTCCGGAATCATAAGAAAAGAGATTTGTGCAGTTCTCAGTCACCCTCTTCATGAGGCATTTTTATGGAATTTACAGGAAGCATGGAAGCTCATGAAGAATAGCAGATGGTGAATGAGAAGGCCTCAGACAGCAAGACTACATCGGGGCACATTTACAGGAAGCCTGCTATGTTGCTTCTGATCGCCTGGCATGATGCTTCTCATCATGTAGTTTTATTTCCACAATGAACGTGGACAGAGGGCCTACAATGTGCCAGCACTTTCTAGATAGGATAGATACACTTGTGGACAAACCTGGACCATGAGGCAACAAAGAGACTCAAAGTTTAGACAGTATGTGAATGGTTTTGCTGTGAAAATTCAACTTTCCTGTCTACTCTCTTTTCTTTAAAGCAAAACAAAACATTTTATTAATTTTGTGGGGTGGATGGCTGGTAAGGCTTTTGTCAGGCTGGTAGCAAGCTTCTCAGACTCCTTCCTTCTTTTCTCTTATTTCACCTCCTCGGAAGAAATTTCCAGAAAGTAAATGCCTTCACACGTGGATGCAACTTAAATACTTATTTGTATATCCTTGCAAATTATTCACTGACACGTCCTTGTATTCCTGGCAGTGCAGACAGTTTGTAACTTTGGTTGAAAGATGTTGCTCTGCTTCATAACTCTAAGCTTAAATCATCTCAAAACAGAGAAGATTGTCGAGATGTAAGAGATCCCCATATAAAGCAAAATTCTGTCTTCAGACCAGAAGCCCTCATCTGTCACTGACTGACAGCAGGTGAAGCAGGACCCCCCAGAGCTATCATTAAAACAATACCCTTAAGACATTATCCTTAGGAGCCATAATTGTAGCGGCCAGGGGAAGTGTTTAATGTACTCATTGGGGTTATTACCATAAATACTTCTGACAATTTGCGGCTTATGTGTCTGGAAAACCAGTGACTCTTTAGACATATTATTTTCTAGCATGACGTTCTTCACCCGTTTGGATGAACCTATTTTGTTACCCTTTCCCCAAAGCTAAATTGACGACCCTGTTTGGAGATGGCTGTGAGACTGGCAATGTGGGAGAGGGCAGACACTCTCCGGCTGTGACCTGGGTAGGACTAACACCGTAAAAACGTGCAGTAGGACCGGTGCTGTCCCCAGCACGCAAGGGGTGACAACGCACACATGTGCTGTTGGCTGCTTTAATATTATAAACAGCACTGTAGGGAGAAAGATCGAAAAGCTGAGGATATCAAAGGCTTTGAAACACTCAGAATTCAGTCTAATGGAGATTTCCATGGGTTTCTCAAATGTTAGGAGACATCCAGGACCCTCTCCTGATGATTAAATCAGAGCCTCAGCATGGGCCATCAGGAGGCATCACGTGCCTCCAGGCTTCACTGTGACATACTTCACAAGACGGAATCATTAAAAAGGAAAGTATCTGTGTTCTTCAAGCCTGGAAGAAAAAGACTAGACTCACTCAGCACACCTCCCTTAGGGACTCTGCACATCCCCGATAGCCCTATGTACTCATTTGTGCCCTATACAGAATGAATGAACGCCACTTTGTGTGTCTACCATGGTCGTGTAAGCTTTACTGCCGTGAGGTCAAGAGCAAGAAAAAGAAAGATGAGAATGTGGCTTTTAATACTGCTTTCAAAAACGGTAGTTTTCATATTCCACACCAATTTGAAGCATCTTTCCATTTATTTCCTTTTATCCAACCTCAATTGCTACCTCAATACAAAAGCATCAAAGTACAATGATGCCACATCTACCTCCCAGGAGACAGATCTTGGGAGCACCAGGGCCTGTGTGACAGAGTGAGAACTCTCAAAACCAAAACAATGAAACGCAAAAGGTTGGAAAATGAACTCACAATATCAAGGTAAGAATACAGATAAATAACAGAATCTACAATGCGCTATACAAAGGAAGAATTCATAAATGCGGTGAATTGAAAATGTAAACCCAAACCTAAGAATTAGATCACAATGGACCATGTTTAAGAGAGGCAAATGCCCTGACAAATATTCTGCATTTTTGACCCCATAAAAAACATGAGTTAAAGCAAGCAAACAAACAAATGAAAACTAGGCACCGTGGCACATACCGGAAGTCCCAGCACTTAAGAGGTAGAGGCAGAAGTTCAAGGCTACTGTGTTTTACATAGTGAGTTCCAGGCCAGAATGAGATCCTGTCTCAAGGAAAAATGACCAGGGCCATGTGAAAAGGAAAGAAAGAAAGAAAGGGGGGAGGGATAGGGAGAGAGGAAGAATAGGAAGGGAGGATAGGAAGGAAATAAGGAAGAAAAGAAAGAAAAAGAAAGGAAGGAGGGAAAAAAGGAAGAGAAATTTTCTGCAGTCACACTAGAAATACATAATTTTGTCAGAAGACGAGCAAATCAATCTATTAAAGTTAGTAAATCAATCAATGAAAGTTGAATCAAATTAGGCTCTAAGAAATTCCAACAGATTTTGTTCAACTCCATGAGTTGTGTGAGGGCAGACCACATAGTTGGGTGGGTGGGCAACCTGGGGGAGGATCTGCAAGGAGTTGGGAAGAATGATAATATGATCCCTGTATGAAATTCTCAAAAAAATTCTTCAAAACATTACTTTCAAAAAAGTCAAAATCACTCATCCTTATATACTGGAATACATCCTCAAGACTATAAGAGTTTTTACCTGACTTAGTTTTATTTTTTTTCCTGATTAACTTGATTTATAATTAATTAATTTGTCAACACCACTAGTATGTGTCCTTCCACGGGTGATTTCTGCACACACCTCTGGACCATGGAGTCCACTACAGACAGCAATATGAAGCACATGCTCTTAGAGTAAGGTGGCATTATCATCAGACTCTCTTGCTCCTTCTGGGGTCAATAACCATCAACGACATCTTGCTGGAGGCTGAAACAGGAAGCGGAGCTGTGTAGTTTGACATTAAATTTGGCACATGGAAGTTGAAAGCCTGCAATCCAGTCGTATGTTGAACAAAGGGGAAATTTAATTATATCTTTTAGGTACAGCATCAACAATACTTTTTTATCTCCTATGCTGGATACTCAGAACAAACATGCCAGTGAATTTGCTACGTCCACACGTTAAGTTTATTTTTGGATTTTGGACAAATCTAGTAGAAATTTAAAAAAAAATCACCTTGTTTGCTTGTTACTGTTGTTGTTAGAATAAAATGTGTGTGTGTGTGTGTGTGTGTGTGTGTGTGTGTGTGTGTGTGTTTAAATCACACAGGTAAAATTAGTGTGGGATTCTAATGTGCAAAAACTAGCTCTT